TATTTAAAATTTTTATCTAATTGTAAAAAATATTAAATAAGTTAGCAGGCAAATTTGCCTGCTCTACAGATTAAGGAATAATGCTTTAGCTAGGATAGTTAAAAAAAAAACATATAAGTAATATATATATATATATTTTTTTTAAATATTAAGATGAGTACTTGCAATCCAGAATTTTATTGATAGTATATTTGGCTAATGATTGCATTACAACTACAGAGAACAACTATAAGAAGAGTATACAACTAGTTACTCATATAACTTTAGTTATTGTCTAATTTAAGTAGTTTACCTAAAGGTTCTACACTAGTAGTCATATCTGAAACCTACTTGTAGGTTTCCTATTTAATTACTTAGTTTCTGTATCCATCCACCTACCTCTATCTATCAATAACCTCAGCTAATAGTAGTGAAAATATGTTATAATTACTAAGCCTTTAAAGCAGTTTACTCATATAAGGAACCTTTGACCTTGTACTAAACCTTTTAGAATCTTTTATATCTTATTCTTATAACTAATCTAGTATCACTATGACCAATACCAATACTAGTAATCAGAGTGTATTATTAAACTACTATGCCCTTGTAGAGTTCACCTCAACCTAGTACTAACTTTACAATATATCTTTACTACTTTGGTATTTAATTTAAGTTCCACCAAGCTGCTATTCCAGATAGTTTGGAAAGGTAAATCAAAACTATATATCTCTGGTTTACATATTTGCTAGCATGTATTCTTTTTCTTTGGAATCTGAAAATTCTGATGGCCTGGTTGGTTCATTTAGTCTCTTCTTAAAAACTAACATATTTGTTTAGTTTCACAAGTTCTAGCTCTGTTTCATAAGTCTAGTTTTTATAATAATATCATCAAAGTTTTGGATTATCTCTTTATTTAGATCTTCTAAGTAAGCTTTTATCTTCCTATCTGGTTTCTATAATTTACACAACCTAAGAACTTATTTTGGATTTATACTGTTCAGTACTAATTTGTATTCTTTTATACAATATTATATAAGTGTCTAGACCTTTTAGTTATGCTGGTATGATATGAATTACAGATATCTTATTCTAACTAATCATGAAAAACAGTTAACCATAATACAAAAAGAATTGCAAATTTTTATTGTCACTGAAATTTGAACTTTAGACCTGCTACTTGAGAGTTGTCAACCTATTTACTTCACTAGATTGCCACATCTTCTATATATGTTTTTTTTTATATTATATAAAATTAAATACTGCTATAATCTAATTTTTATTTTCAAATAATATAAAATAAAATTTATTTAAATATTTTAAAATTTAAAAAAATTAGATCTAAACATATTTTTAATAATTTTTCATGCAAATTTGACTAAAAAAGTTTACAGATTAAAGGATAACTTATTTTGTACCAAAATCTTACAGTAAATGTTAATACGCAAAAGGCGATTTAATAGAGGATCAATCGTCAAAAGAGTTCTGATTGGTAATTAGTTTTAAATCACGTGTCTACGGTCGGGAACCTGGCACGCCTGTGGCACTTTGTACTAAGTTTTTTATCTATTAACTATGACTTTCTGGCCAGATTCCCTAATATATGAACATGTTATATGGTTCTGTATAATATTTCTTGGGTTTACTAATAGACCTAGGTTTATATATAGTAATACATAAGTGTAACTTTGGTGGTAAATATCATTTTTTCGTATTTCATGTGTATATATCTTTCGGATAAAAAAATTTATATTTATCCGATTCATGTAGACTTTATTCTTTCTACGCACTTTATTGGTTAATCGTCACGAGTAATCACGGGTAATCACGGGTAGATCTATAAAAATTGACCAATCAGACGAATGTCTTCCTATGATGGATGATTTGGAAGAACAGACTGCTGCAGCGCAAGTGCTTCAAGTTTTAAGATTTGCTAATGTTCCTGGTGATTCTAGTCCTGAATCTTTGGATTCATCAAACACGTCTTCACCATCACGTACACATATTGTTGATAAGCTTACTGAGAATTCATCGATCGTTACCTTAGATAACAATCAAACTTCATATGATCCTGGTCTAAATCATACATATTTTGATCCAGACTGGGGAACAATAGTTCAACTTGACACGGATACGTCAACGACCGGAACACATGAAGGAATTTCCATTGATTGGAGTGGTGTCGTTAACACAACTTTACTCCCTATTGCTTTTCCAAACAACAAAGGAAATCCTGAAGAAAATCCATCACCCTCACCAAAATCGTTAACAAATAAGCATTCTGGAGATGATAGTATTGAAAGTTTTATTACTAAGGATACCAATGAAAAAATAGAAGCTTTGAATGAGGCAGAAATATCTGCTGATCTTCTTATCACTGCGATGGATGAGAATCCCGAATTTTTCTATCATTCAACATCTAATGATTACTCTGAAGTATCTTATACAGCTGGATCCGAAGCTTTTTTTATTTCCGATGAAACTGCAAATATTTCGACACGTTCAACAAAAGTAGAAGATACAAATGAAACTAATACACATCAAATTAAGCGACGAAGAACATCAATTTCTGACAAAAGTTTATGTCGAAATTCTCCAAGTTTAAATATGGATGGCAAAACTTCTCAACTTGGATATGCGTGTTTATACCCACATTGTAATAAATCGTTTGCTCGTCTATACAATTTAAAGTCACATCAGCGGACGCATTCGACTGATCGACCGTTTAAATGTTCATCTTGTGAAACTGCATTTGCAAGAAACCATGATCTTAAACGACATCAAAAAATTCACGAGAATACCAAACCTTATAAATGTCTTGGTTGTAAAAAGTTATTTTCGAGGTTGGTTGCACCTTTCAGTTCATTATAGTTTGTTATTATTTAACTAACATAAATTTATTAATGTGTTTATCGGTAGATTGGATGCTCTAAAACGTCATAAACAAAACCCAAAGAGTCGTGAATTGTGTCACGAGACTGAGGTGGCAACTGCATGAAAATCATGGACGATTAGCGTTTAATGATAATTTTGCTAAGTAGTATTTTTTGTGAATTTTGTTCACTTAAAATAGTTAATCAGGTTCAGACTAGCTTTCTTGTAACGAAGTGTAACGACATCTAGGTACTTATTTCTTAGGGACAATACGGTCAGTTTTTTCTTTTAAAGGATCTATTCCAAAGATCATGATTATTCACCTAAATTTTGTAGTTATTACTGTGAACACTTTGAATCAAATATATTTTAATGCATGAATGTTAAGTATTTATTGTCGCAGATCATAATGAAATCTGATTAAAATGAAACTTGGGGGTTCTTTTTAAGCCTCTAAAACCACCTATACTCTTCTATTAAAAATCACAATCCTAAATCTTAACCAAAACCCTAAAAAGAGCTAAAAAAATGCACCCCAAAAATTTTACCGCGACACGTAAATTTCTAATTGAAATTTATTTTAATTTGATTTCATTTTAATCTGGCGCGTTTATTGTTTTGTAACAAGGTGTGATACCTGATTTAAATAGTAAGACTTATTTTTTTAATATTGATTTTGACTCAATGGATTCGAGGTTTAAATTGTGCACTTTTTTTAAGAAAAAAAAAATAAGCGATAATCACTATCCCTTACACCGTCCCGTCAGCTTAATATGAACAGTGATATAGACTACGATTAACTTTTTGATCTGTAGTGCTGGTCACAAATGACGGTTTTCACTATTAGTCTTGTAAAAATGTAATTAATTATCTTTACCATTAAAAGATTATCTAGTACAGAATTATTTTAAAATTGTAAATATTAATAACATTCAATAAAAGACAAGTCTTAATTTGTTTTACAATTTTTAAATTTAATATTGTATATTAAACACTATGAGCATCTATTTTGATGTACAGTACAAGACTTTTGAGCTACCGACCAAAAAAAGGGGTATCTCAAAAATTCATGTTTTTCATAATGCGAACTGCATCAAATCCGGATTGATCTGCAATCCGCATATTCGAATAGTTATCATGTGAACTGTACAGCTTAGTTTAAAACACAAGGTCGCATTATAGAAGATGCAGTTGCAATGAGCACTTAGTGGTTAAAATTTTTTTGAATAGATAGTAAATCGGCTAATTTTTCAATTTGAGACAAGAAGCGAAAGGTTAGAACGAATTATTAAAACAAATTACAATATATCATAAAGAACGATCAAATTGTTGTTTATCTCTTATAATTTCATTAAATTTAATAATGTTGAGGTGTTCAGTCGTATTAAGTTTAAGCTATAATATTATTTCAAATTTTACATTATTGTTTTGTAAAGTATATTTATAATAAATTTATAAATAATAGATTACCTTACAAACAAAAGCCTTAAATGTTTTATTATTTGAAAAATAGCAGAATACACAATTGTTGAAAATTGTGTAAATCATATAATAATAAATCTACTTATTTTGAACCATTTATAAGTTGTATTAAAATATTATGTTTTTATTATATTTTTAAGAATTTTTAAAATTTTTTATATATTTTTATATTGATTTTTTTTTTTTTGGTGTTAAGATGACTTTTTTAGTTTTTTAACTTTTATTAATAATTTTTTAGTGGACCTGTAGGTTAATAGCGAAATGGTTATGCTCTCAGGTCACCAATCACAAGGTTGCCAATTCAAGTTCAACAGGAGACGTAAACTGTGTTAGAACTACAATTACAGATTAATCACATCAGAGGACATATTACAAAAATAGGAAGATCTTTAGTACCCAGATTCTTAAATAGTAACAGATCTGATATAAGAAGATCATGATAATTAGAGGACTGAGAATAATAATAGAACAAAGGAATCCCTAATTAAAAATAATCCTGGTAAAATTCCAGAGTAATAGAAACACAAAATTAGTATATAGATAGTATTATAAAAATGTATACAAACAATATAAAATGTAGACAAGGTCCTAATAGAAGGTCCTGTAAACTTAAAATATGAACTAATAAAACAGTCATCAGTTGTAGCTCACTAGTGACCATGCAGCGAAAAATTAAAAAAAAAATAATTTTTTAGTAATATGATTTTATAAACTATTACAGAAAAAGTATACAATTAGTTATATATTTAACTTTTCTATATTATTTATTTAAAAAGTCTGGTTAAAGGTTTTTTACCAATTGTTATATTTAATACCTTTGCTTAGATGTTCAATTTTAAAACTTTTAAACTTGCATTTGTGTTAACATTACTAGATTATGCTTATTTTATCTTTGAGTTAAACCTTTTTAAGTCTTTTGTACTTATTTTTATAGCAAACTTAATATCACTATAATAGAACTAATACTTGTAATTAGAATTTTATTTTTAATTACTATGGTTTTGTAAAATTCACTTGAACCTTAACATCTATTTTACAGCATATTATTAGTACTTTAATATACTTCTACTTATTCTTTAGATTCCTAAACCAGATAACTATATAAGACTATAATCAGTTTATTAGTATATCAAATTAGTTTAATATTTTTTTTTCAGTTCATTCTGACAATTTGGTTAGTAATACTTTTGAGACTCCTAACTTAAAGATTTTTACTTATTTAAATATTTTGAGATTGATATCTGTTTCTAGTAATCTAGTCTTTATAATAATACTATTAAAGATCTGTGTTATTTTTCTACTTAGGTCTTTTTAAATAGATTTCTTGTTTCTTAATTTCAACAGATTTATTTAAAGTTTATATTATCTAATATTAGTTTACATTTTTCTGTATAACTAGCTATATAGATGTCTTATGACTTGTTAGTAATACTAATATAATTGTTATTACAGATATTTTAAACTAATTATTCAAAATAATTATCATAATACAAGTATTATATAAGTAATTATTTAAATTTTTGCTATCAATAGAATTTGAATATCTAATTTACTATTTAGAAGATTAACAACTTATCTATTTTACTAAGTTATTATACTCTCTATATTGAATTTTTAATATTAAAATTAATATATAAGATTAATTAAACTTTAAAAAGATTTTAAAATATAAAAATTTTTATTTGAAATATATATATTATAAATAGTCTATATAAAACTAAAAATTATTAAATTTTTTAAATATAAATTTTAATATTAATAAATTGTATAATAAAAAAATAGATAATAAATTAATAAAATAAATCTTAAAATATTTATTATAAAAAAAAATTTTATAAATTGTATATTCAAAATATAGTAATATTATCTAAAATAAATTAATAATAGTTAATAATATAAAAATATTAAATATATATTATAAAAAGCAAAATATTATAATATATAAAAAAATTTAAAATAATTTAAAAAAGATAAAAATAATTTGAAATATTTTGAAATATTGTAAAATATTTGAAATATTTTAAAATATTTTAATATAATTCAAAATAATTCAAAAAATTTCAAATTATAGTTAAATTTATCACTTTTTAACAATACACTCTAAGGGTGTAGTGACTTAGTAAAGTGGATAAGTTGTTATATCCCCAAGTGGTAGGTTGTGAGTTCAAAACCCACTGATGATGAAATTTGGATAATCACCTATGTAATATATAGACAGTATTATGACAACAGCATTCTGTCGATCAGTTGAGATAGGATACCTGTAACTATGATCGTACTAGCATAACTGGCAGGTCTGGAGCATCTGTATAACTTATTACACAGAGAAATGCAAACCAGTACCAGGCAGTGCAAACCTAAAATAAGTTTTTGGGCTGTGTAAATCATAGAACTGGAAAGCCGGAACCTACTTGAAAATTCTGAGCAGAGAGATAACGCGTATTTTTGACAGTACTACTGTAAAGGCTAGACCTAGGAAATGGATACCAATGTGAAGAATTTGGGCAGACAAGAACCTTGGATGAGGGGTATCACCAACCAGGCTACCAGATTTCAGACCAGAGAAAAAGGATATTGGGCCAGCCTCAATATACCAAGGACAGGTCACAGTTCTTTCAGACTATCTGGATTGGGAGTCTGAGTTCAAAACAAGGGTATATTAAAAGTACTAGGAATATGCTGTGAAGTTAATACTAGGATCTGGGTGAACTCTGCAAGGGTAGCCTGTGTTAGTGTTCTAAAAATGAGTAGATAGTTAACAACAGGGGGCCCCCTGCACCTTACTGGCAGGTAATGTATTCTGAAATATGTAATGGCCTAAGAACCAGTACAAAAAGTGTAGGTACTATATAGTGTTCCGAGTTGGTAAAAATTTTTCAAATCGATTAGTTGCCAACTATAGTTGCAACTAATCAACTTTCCCTATCATGTAACTAAGTTTGTTAATTGGCTAATCAAACTAAAGAAATAAACATAAACCAGCCTGAATAGATAAAATATTTCGGCATTTAACTAGTTGATAATTTAATCAACTAGTTGTTTCAAAATTTTCCAAATCGATTAGTTGAAAAGTTGTCAACTAGTTGGTTTTTCAACTAATGATTTGGATCACTAGTACTATACTGCTTAGACAGTATACTAGTTAGGTATATACAGGAAGTTAGTTGGAGATTCCAATATGACAGGGCAGATTATCAGAGGGTTTAAATAGATAATCTTCTAGTAGGTTATAGGTACAGCATCTAGTATAGAACCCTAAAGCGGACTACTTAAATAGGCAACCAAAAGTTGCATGTATGACTAGCTGTACTTTCATCTCTGTAAAATAGTTGTAATAGCTAACCCAATATAAAGTCAATAAAGTATTGCCACAAATATGACCTTTAACGAAAAAAAAAAAAAAAAAAACAATATACTCTTTTTACTGATCTCTTTTTACAAATTTAGAAAAAATACAAAATTGATAATAACCCAAAAAACAACATAGAAAACACACAAAAGTGTTATTAGAAAAAAGAAGTAGAAAGATAAAATATTTAGAAATAGTATAGAGGCACAATAGCTAAAAAGAAGTGAAAGGCACTAGAACAGAAACTTTGCAAAAAACAAGAAAATTTTTAAAAATTGGAAAATTTTCTGAGA